AAAAAAAAAAAATCCACTGAAACAGTTCCTGATCAAAATGAGACTTTGTTAGCCATTGTATTTTGTGTGTATGAATTGTCTTTGTTCCACAGAAAATTTTGAATATTTTAGCAGAAACAAGAAGCACAAACTAAGATATGTTTTTTGAAATTCTTCAAGAAAGCCTAGTGGGAGTAGTAGCTCCGTTGTAACAAGGCACTCTTTGCTGGTGACAAAAGGGACAAGGATCTACGTCATCCTCTATCAAATATAACTTCCATACTTCCAAGAAAGAAGATTGTAGATAGCTATGAACTACTTAGCCTGAAATACCAAAATCTTGCAACTTTTTCTCCAAAAAGAGTCTAAAAAATATATATTAATTTAAACTTGCTCTCTTTTAATTTTAATCTGAAATAGATGAACTAATATAATTAGTTTGTAGTAAGTATTTCTGTAAATTTCGGAGGATGGTTTTACTGTTTCTGTTAACTTGTGTATTGGACAGATATGTTGCTAATATGAGTGGTCGTTTCTGGTCTGCCTAACACATGCAGTGTTTGGCATTACCCTAGCACAATCCATATGCTAAATTATTTTCTTTTAGCAATGTACAGATGTGCTGGTTTAATAAGTACTTTAAATCCATCTTGTTTACAGATTCTTTTAGTTGTGTTTAATCTTCTGAAGTTTGGTCTCCATCTGTGTTATCAATAGGAAATTGGTAATATCAGAAGATCACTCTTTTCATTAGTTATTAAATTTTTCTGAAGCAAGCAAAATTGATGACTGCCTTCTATTCTTCTTGGATATATCCTGTAGTTTAGTCCTATCTGGATTTTCTTTTACAATGCCTGACTTCAACTCTAAAATTAAAGCCAAAAAAAGAACTTAAAAACACAAGGGGATTTATTCAAAACCCAGCTTTAGTTTGGCTTTGATACATAGCAACGTATTAGCAACTGGGAACTGTGACTCTGGAATGGGATGTAAATGCTGCTTAAAATTTCCTGCTAAGAACCAAGATATTAAAGCCATTTCTACTTTTTGAGTATCATCCAAGTCTTTGTTCTTTTTCTTTCAGACTACAGAGAATTAAAGAAATGACAGAGTATAATAATCTAGTGAATTGTGCTTTTATGATGATCATGTACTGCGCAATCTTGAGTGAAACAAGTTGTCTAATTTCAGGTGTTGCTATCTACACTGGCATGGAAACTAAGATGGCATTAAATTACCAGGCAAAATCACAGAAGCGATCTGCTGTAGAAAAGTAAAATTTCTAATATTTATTTTGGGGGTGGAAAACTGCATGTTTGAATGGTGAATAAAAGAGGATTTTTTTTTTTTTTTTGCTAAAAGTGTGTTTACATTGATTTAAATTAAAAAGGAGTTAGAGGGACTTACAGTTTGCTTTTTTGTTTATATTTTTTTACTTACAAAATCAGTCGTGTAACGCCATATAAATGAGGTTCTTAATACTGAATTGTTATTAGATGTTACACGTAAAAAGAAACCCAGTTTAATGTGATGCTTACCTTTTTAAGGTATGATGTGCTTTGCTGTTCCAGAAGACTTTCTTTCACTGGTTAGAGTACACCTACTGACAGTATTCCAAGATTATGTGCTTCAATATCCTAACATTCCACTTCGTTGCAACTAAGTCTTGAATTCCGTAAAAATTTTTTTGATACACTTCACTTCGGATCAACTGCAGTAATACAAAGCGTATCTGTGGCAGGTTTTCCGTGGTTTAGCTAAAATTAAAAGTTCCATACAGGCATACATGATGGAAAGGAAGACACTGCTATCCTCAAGGAATGAGCTGGCATTGGTTGCTTACTGTATTTGAAATAGGGAGAATTATTTTCTAGTCCTACTCTGAAATTATCAGCTCAGAGTAAGGTGTCCAACCTTGTGGGACAAAAAAGATGTCATTGATTAAGGCAAGATGTACTGACCAGCTGACAGCGTTTCTCTTAAGCATTGCTCTTGACTGAGCCAAGATGATGTGTCTCTTTATTGTTAGTGATGTATAACCCATGGCTTTTAGTTTATGCCCATCACTAATGAAAATAATAGTTTTAAATGTGAAGTGTTCTTGCTCTTCTTTTTTTAGAAAAAACTAAAACTGCCTACAGTTAAACCATTACAGCTACATAGGAAAATGTTCTCAATAGATTTATATTTCTATAAAAGTACTTATGTGTTTTTATATTGGTTCAGAGAAATGGCATAAAAAGGTCTGCGGATACAAGCCTGGTTATTCTGTTATGATTCCATCTATGCTATTGTTTTCACTAATATACTAGGTTTGGTAATGTCACACACAGTTTGGAAACAATTACAGCAGTTAACATTTTAAATAGAAAATGGTCCTCAATAATACTTTTATTCATGGGGAAAACACTGTAGAAAAGTTATTTAACATCATAGCATTGTTAGACTTGCAACAAATGTTAGGCTGAAGCGTAAGTATAACATTTTTAAAATAACATCCGTAGTTTATATGCTAATGGAATTCTTATTCCCCCCCTTTTTTTTTTGTTTTTTTTTTTTAGATCAATGAATGTATTCCTTATTGTATACCTCTGTATTCTCATCAGTAAAGCACTGATAAATACTGTCCTGAAGTATGTCTGGCAGAGTGAACCATTTCGTGATGAGCCATGGTATAATCAGAAAACAGAGCCAGAAAGGAAAAGAAATTTGGTATGGAAATAAATTTAAAATACAAAAAAAAAATTTCACTAAAGCCTTAATTTATAGGAATCCTACTGAAAAGTATATACAGCCTGCTTACTTGCCAGTCATAAATTGTTGCTTTTTTGTGCTACTAACAATGATAACAGTATGTTTGAAGAAAGCTTGTATATTAGATTTTTGCACTTAAGTTGTATGTGTGAATTTAACTGATGAGGAAATGTTTGTTTTAGTATAAAAAGCCTCATGAAAGTGTTGTAGAGTTTACTGTCATTTATGTGAATTACCAAAGAACTGACCTCTTGCGAAGAAATATAGGGCTGAAAGGAATCCCACAACTATTGGCAATCATTTAACAGATGTGTTTAAAAGAATCTGCTTTAGTAATGTCTGTAGAAATACCCCTCAGAAGCTTAGTTTCATATAGCGCTGTAACTGTCATGAGCACTGGAGACCAACAACAGTTGCTAGTCTCTGATGTCCTTATGGGAGCAAGGACATAGTCCAGAGCAGATACCCAGATGATCCAAAGTAACAAACTGAACACAGCACTACAGAAAGCATGATGTTATTTCACTAAATCCTCCCAGTCAGACTAGGGGAAGATTTCCTTCTTTACCCTAAATGCACGATGAGCACACACTAGCCAGGCATGTTCTACATTTCTTATTACCACCAGTAACACTGTCTCAGCCTGCTCAGCAGGTTGACTATACCTCCAAGAAGTCTCCACCACTGAAAAAATTGAGCCAGGTTACGTGCACACATTCTACTTGTATTGAGAGAAGGAAGGGAAACCCTTTATTTATTAATGGAATGCTGCTTGGAAGTTATGTAGTTTGGTAATCCTTGAATGAGTTACTGTAGTTTTACAGTATTTTTCTGGTAATTTGTGAATGTACATTTTTATTGTTTTGCTTGTTCTCATATGAGTGTTCACCACTCTTAGTTGCTCTAGAACTTTACAACAGTGATGCGTAACTGTACACTTGTATGTCTGTAAAGAAAAATACAAATTTAAAACAAAAAAGCTTTTTTTCTTTATGCCAAATTAGTTGTGATGTTACAAATCATGAAGGTGCTGATTTGTGAGCTGTGAAAGATGTTGCTTACTGTTGGAAAGTTATTAGAAAAAAATAATTTGCAAATGTATGTAGTCATCTTTCAGGTTTTTGCTAGTGCGTGAAAAATTAGCATTTTCCTTGTTTCTTTGGCAGTTTCTTCGAGCTTTTACAGACTTCCTTGCATTCATGGTTCTTTTCAACTACATTATTCCTGTATCCATGTATGTCACTGTGGAAATGCAGAAATTTCTTGGTTCTTATTTCCTTACATGGGATGAGGAAATGTTTGATGAGGACACAGGTGAAGGACCACTAGTGAATACTTCTGACCTCAATGAAGAGTTGGGACAGGTAAATTTCATTGAATGATAAATTTATTTCAGCTGTTTCTACCATAATTTTTATTTTTAAATTGTCACCTTTTTTTCGCAACTTACTGTGCGTTTTCTTTAGTGCTGATTAATTTTAAAAATAAAATTTGAGATCTCTTTCAGAATCAAAAATTCTGGGTTTTCAGCCAATCAGTGGAAGTCAATTAGTATTACTATATTAGTAAGGGATAAACACTTTAACAAGGTAATGTTTTTCTCTCCATTGACTATGGAGGGAGATTATATAAGCATCTAACTTCCTTAGATTAAGTGTCAGATGGAAAAAAACCCTTTTTGTCTGGCTAGACTGACAGCAAATCTCCAGACACAAGTTTCATTCAGTAAAATGATTGACTGTCATTCTCATTTTCCAAAAGAATTTCTATGTTTAGTATTCTGTGTAAGAAAATCATCACCTTGACACAGATATGCATGACTATTTTTTTTGAAAAGATTTAGGATCTTTGTTAATTAAAAATGTTTTCATAGGTTTTCAAGTAAATAAGAAGGTGTTTCCTTATTTTTGCATAGCCCAACTGGTAATTAAGCTTTTCGGGAGACATAGCTATTTGGATAAAGGTGGTACCAAGTATTGTATTATTATTATGGGAGACAGTTGACACTCCTAGAGAAACTGATGAATCATGGGCTGGATGAGTAGACAGTGAGGTGGGTTGAAAACTGGCTGAACAGCCAGGCCCAGAGGGTAGCAGTCAGCAGCATGAAGTCTAGTGGGAGGCCAGTAACTAGCCATGTACATGAGGAGTCAATACTGAGTCCAGTCCGAATCATTAATGATCTGGATAATGGGGCACAGGGTACCCTGGGGGCCACCCGGCTGGAAAGCAGATTGGTAGAAAAGGACCTGGGGGTCCTGCTGGACAACGAGTTGAACATGAACCAACAATGTGCCCTTACGACAAAGAAGTCGGATGGTATTCTCATCTGCGTTAGACAAGAGTATTGCCAGCAAGTAGAGGGAGTCCTGTGAAGGGCCACAAAGATGGTGAAGGGACTGGAGCATCTCTTCTGTGAGGACAGGCTGAGGGAGCTGGCACTGTCCAGCCTGGAGAAGGGAAGGTTCAGGGAAGATCTTATCCATGTATATAAATACCTGAAGGGAGGGTACAAAGAGGATGGAGCCAGGTGTTTAAGAGGATGGAGCCAGGTGTTTTTCAGCAGTGCCTAGTGACAGGACGAGAGGCAGTGGGCACAAACTGAAAGGGGAGGGTTTGTCTGAACATCAGGAAACACTATTTTACTGTCACAGTGACTGAGCTCCTCAGGCGAACTGTGGAGTCTTCATCCTTACAGGTAACCAAAACCTGTCTGGACACAGTCTTGGGCAACCAGCTCTTGGTGGTCCTGTTTGAGCAGGGTGGGTAGATCAGATCACCTCCAGAGGTGCCCTCCAACCTCAACTATTCTGTGATTCTGTTATGAAAAATAACTTACTACTACTAAATTTAAGTGTTGTGCCTAGAATGGGACATTCATCAGTACTTGGCATCATTAGTACAAATCTAACAAACAAAATTTTGCTTCTACATTTTTGAAAGATACCATGCATCGTATTTCTAGTGAAGGCTTTGATTGTGAATCCATATTTGTGGTTGTCGTAAATACTGTCATGCTTTGTTCCTTTTTTCATCTAACTGGTGTTGATCCCAAAGCAGCACACTGAATGAACAAAAGACCTTAGCTTGATAGCATTTTGTATCTTATGTAAATGTATGATGAATATAAATCCTGTCCACTTTGAAAAAAGTTGAATATGGGTATTGCGTCCACAGATAACAAACCACGGGAAAAATTGGAAACTTGCCTTTTCAGATTAATGAATGTTAGAATAGTCAATCTAGGAGGAAAGTTCACTTCTTTAATAACTTCCCATATGACTGAGAGCAAAAATTTGTTTGATGCACTTGATAAATGTTGCAGTTTAAATAATCTGCCGAATACTAAATAATTGCCTTAGTTCCAGTGTTTGATTCCTAACTTTACATAATGCTATCAGTTTATCAAATATATACATAAAATCTGTATACAATACCTATATCCAAAATTGTGCTGATCTAGCTCTTCTGGTTTGTAGATCAGGTTTTGGTTTTATTTTTGATGTTGTTGTCCTTAAATGCTGGGGCTCGTTGTAAATGATAAAATTAATGAAAAAATCAATATTGAGACAAGAGGAATTTTTCCAGGGCAATAACAGTGCCTATGTGTATAACTGTCTGACCATTAGTCCAATGTCCCCATTTAAACTAGAAAAAAAAAAAAATGTAGTGGGGAATTTTGATACTACCCTAAGGACTGTTCTGACAGTAACTGATCCGAGTCATTAAATAATGATCCCTGGGAAATGGAATTTGTGTGCATTTTGTTTCCATAAATATCTGTCTTGCAGCAAGAAAGACATTAAACACCAAAAAGGAGCTTGAGAGAAGACTGAAAGTAGGCTAAACACATCACTTGTATATGTTGTGAGGCAAAAGATAGCTTTGCTGATGCTCTTGTACAATAAAATCTTTCAGGGCCCACATTTCCATGGAAGATGACTCCCAAAAGAAATTGTTATCTTCCTTTTCTGAAGAAGCCTAAATAAGGACCTTTAAAGGAAGTCGTAACCCAGTAATAATCTTAGTTTTGTTAAGAGACCTTGGAAAAATCTCTGTTCATATTCC